TGTTGTCATAAAAGAGATTTAGCGAAAGTGCTTGTCATTATTTCAGGAATTATTGGCTGCTACCAGTATATTATTTAAAGGGTGTGTGCAAGAGTGTGTGTGTACATAGTCATACCTAAAACAATATCTCAAATTGGCACTGGAAGTGTATGTGAAAACATTCAGGTATGGGCAGGTGAACTTTCCCAATTTCTCCTGGATTAAATTGTAAGAAATGACATCCTGTTGTTGTTAATTGAGAGTGATTGCTTGGTTAAAGAAATCTCAACTGATTAATTGCAGGGAACATGTGTATTTCATTCACGCGTGCATATTAACAGAATAATAACTCAGAAATGGGATCTTCACGATCCTCTCTGTGGGGGACAGAGATGCAGGGAAATTCTTGAGTCCCCGGGTAACCCTTATGATGAGATAATATTTTCTGGTTTATGAACAATACTCTAGGATTTAATGTGTCTGATTTAGGAGCTTAGTAATAGTGAATGAGCAACTAGTTTCCCTTTTGGTTACTGTATGTTGGGTCCTGTTGTTGCAACTCCCAAACTACTCAGCCTACATGTTGCCTGGGAATTTGAGGGAGTAACAGTCACAACCAGTTTGAAGAGTGTGAGGCTAAGGAAGGGCACGTATTGCAGAAAAGCTATGTGTATCACTGCTCATTTTGTAGGGTACATCCAAATTCGTCTTGGATAATATTCTCTGATCTTTTCAGGTCAATGTTTTTTCAAACTTGGCAACTTTATAACGCATGGGCTTCAACTCCCAGAATTCTCTAGCCAGCGTGCCAAGTTTGAAAAACCATGCTCTGGGTGAAAATTGGGTAGTATTCTCTCCCATACAATCCCCATGGAACATATATTAGTCGTCACAGATATTTGCGCATTTTTAAATAGTTCCCCAAAATAATAGTATTTTTTTTTCTAAATTGCAAGATGTTCCTGTTAATTAATAGGATCTGAATAGCTGGGGCTGATTAGGAAAACTATTTTGAACATGTGCTGGATAGCTACATGAAATTTTTGGTCCAATATGTAACTCTGGAAAAGAAAAAATAAATTCCATTCTTGTAATCATGAGGAAGACAGGGAATATAGTATCTCTCTTATATAAATCTATGGTTAGAGTGCACTTGGAGTTCTAACTATATTGTTCTAGATATATTGTATATTATTCTATATTGAGAGCCATTTTGGCCTAGTAGTGAAGGTGCTGGTCTTTCCTACTGGAAACTGGGAAACCAGGAGATGGTGAGTTCTAGTCCCTCCCTAGGCATGAAAGATGATTTTGGGCCAATCACCAGGAGACTGTGAGTTCTAGTATCACTTTAGGCATGAAAACTGGTTGAGTGTCTTTTGACCATTCACTGTCTCTCAACCCATCCCATTCCACCCCACCCCACAGTTATTCTGTGGAAAATAGGAGAGGAAGAAGTATTTTTTTGTTAAATTTATTTGCTGCCTATCTCTCTGTGGGGCTACTCGAGGCGGCCATATTATACATGTTCACTGCCTTGAATTAACTTATAAAGTAATAAAGACAGGATGAAAATCTAATAAGCAAATACAATTGTCAAATCCTTGGAAACTGTAAGAGGAAATTTCTTCCATCATTTTTAGTGATGGTATGGTAGAGTCTTCTGGTATGGGTAGGCTGTATTACAGTCATATCTCAAAGACTACCTGTTCCAATGGTATTTGTACTAGTTGATATTAAATAACAATTTAGGATATCAATATTACAAGCATAAAATTAAATCATTTTATTTTTTGAATTTGAGTAGATCGCTGTAGATTATCATCAAGGTATTTGTTGTACAATAAAGGATTTGGTCTGGAGCTAGTTACTTAGTATTGAAATTGATATATACAGTACCTGATATATTGTTAATAAAAGGGAAAAATACAAGCTAAATTAATTTAACAAGAATTAAAATACCCAAAAATAATTTTGAAGAAGAAAGAAAAAGAAAAAGGATTATGGGTTTCTAACTTTTTCTTTTTTATACATCTGCTAATTTGCCATATTGTATAAATTTAAGCCATCTTAGAAACCAGAGTGTAAATGCTTGTTTTTGCAATGTTGTGTAATATATTGTATGTATGGAGATCATTCTTGCTTAAATTTGGTTAAACGTCTATTCTGTATATATAAAACATTGGTTTTGCCATTGCTACATATTCCCTAACTTTTAAGTTCCCAATGAGATATAAGATACTATTGGAATTGTATCTTTGTTCCAGTGTGGAACAAAATCTATTCTTGCTGTTGTAAGCATGTATCACATTAAATTATAATGCTTCTGATAATTTTTTTCTGAGATTATTATGCCTACTAAAAAGAGTTGTAGTTTCATTTCAAATTTAAATAAATTTTTTACACCTCCACCATATGTGAGAACATGTTCTTTCTGATTTACGACATTTCCAACATTTATTATTATTATGTGATTTATCTGTGGTAAATATTACTGATGGCATTGTGTACCGTCTGTAGAACATTTTGTAACTTCCTTTAAGTTATAACTTGGCATATATTTTATAGATTAGTCCGTAATTCTTCCTGTGGTGGTTCCTTTAATGACTTGGAAGACATCAGATTTTATGACAAAATGATTGTCTCTAGTTTCATTCCATAGATTGCTCATCAAACCTCAAAGCAGATATTGTTGAACTGAAAAAGTGTGGGGGGGGGTGGTGGTAAAGGGCAATTGTAATAATGAGTAGGCTGGAACTGAAAAGAAAAGACAGTAGTGATTGTGGAATGAAAGCTAGTAAGAGGAAATATGAGGCATATAAAAATTGTACAAGATGTAGAAAACATGGATAGTGAAAAGTTTTTCATATCATCAATATTCAGTGTTAGAACTCAGTCCATCCCCTGAAACTGCAAGGGAGATTCAGAACTGATCAAAAGAAGGAAGTATAGTTAAGTGTTCCTCAGCCTAGTTATCTTCTTAAAACATTATTTCTCAATCTTGGCTACTTGAAAGGTGTAGACTTCAACTCACATATTTTCAGCCAGCCATGGTTGAGAAACACTATGCTAATGTATAGGTCAATTCCCAGAATTGCTTACCTATTCTGTCTATTGCTGAGAAGTTTGGGAGTCGAAATTCAAACATCTGGAAGTTAGTAGGACTGGGACCTACTGGTCTAGTTTTACAGGTAGTCCTCGACTTATAACCACAATTGAGCCCAAAATTTATGTGGCTAACTGAGAAATATATTAAGTGAGTTTTGCTCCATTTTACGACTTGCCTTGCCACATTTGTTATCTGAATCCCTGCAGTTAAGTTAGTAACAGAGTTGTTAAATGAATCTGGTTTCCTCATTGACTTTGCTTGTCAGAAGGTCGCAAAAGGCAATTGCATGACCCCAGGACACTACGACCGTCATAAATGTGAGCCAGTTGTCAAGCATCTGAATATAAATCATGTGACCATGGGGAGGCTGCAATGGTCATAGGTGTGAAAAATGGTCATAAGCCACTTTTTTCAGTGCCATTGTAACTTCGAACAGTCACTAAATGAACTGTTGTAAGTCGAGGACTACCTACACCAAGGAATTTATTGCCTTCAGACTTCGCCACAGCCATCAATTTAGGGAGCTTTAAAAGCAGACTGGGCACATTTTAACTTTGTACGGTATTCAGAATTTCAAAACATCTATGAACAGAGTGATATGAGTAAAGTAGTGATCTGGCAAATGCTAAGGAGATGTTGATAATTATGGTTGAAGCTTTACAGAAATAGGAGATGCTTGCTACTGGACATAATAGTAGTAGTAGTAGTAGTAGTAGTAGTAGTAGTAGTAGTAGTAGTAAAGTTGGAAGGAACCTTGGAGGTAATCTGGTCCAACCCCTGCTCAGGCAGGAAACCCTATATCATTTCAGACAAATGGCTGTCCAGTCTCTTCTTAAAAACTTCCAGTGTTGGAGCATTCACCACTTCTGGAGGCAGGTTGTTCCACTGGTTAATTGTTCTAACTATCAGGAAGTTTCTCCTTAGTTCTAGGTTGCTTCTCTCCTTGATTAGTTTCCATCCGTTGTTTCTTGTCCTGCCTTCAGGCGCTTTGGAGAATAACTTGACTCCCTCTTCTGTGTGACAGCCCCTGAGATATTGGAACACTGCTATCATGTCCCCCCTCGTCCTTCTCATCATTAAATAAGACATACCCAATTCCTGCAACCATTCCTTATACGTTTTAGCCTCTAGTACCCTAATCATCTTTGTTGCTCTTCTCTGTACTCTTTCTAGTCTCAACATCTTTTTTACATCATGGTGACCAAAACTGGATGCAGTATTCCAGGTGTGGCTTTACCAAGGCATTGTATATTGGTGTTAATACTACACGTGATCTTGATTCTATCCCTCTGTTAATGCAGCCTAGCACTGTATTGGCTGCATTCCTTCCTCCATTAAGTCACTATCGATGTATTGGCAGAGAAAAATGGTAAATGTGAATCAGTGTTGCTTTGGCTTTCCCTTTTCTCACAGTTCCTAGAGTTGTGAGTTCAGCCCATCTGTTTAATTTTTCAAAGAATATTTAATCTTTCGATTGAATTAGCATGCCTAGTTTCAATATCACTATTTCTGAGAATGCTTCATTTCTAAAGACCTTTCTTCCATTCTCTTTTATTGTTCTGGAAGCTTTAAAAATGAATACATGCTGCAATGTTATGATACTATTTTGTGGCAGAATTTTTCAGCACGTTCATTTCAAAATTCCCCATTTGAATCAAAGCAAGTCATTAATTAAGTGCATCAAACCCATTTTAATGAAAATTGTGGCATGTACTGTAAACTTGGTGTAATAATTTCCATATTCTTGCAGTTCTGGAATTTAATGTCATTGGAGCAAGGAGAATAATCTGGGAATTTTAGAAAATCACTGCCTTTTTTTCAGATGAGCTCAGAGAACTGATATTTGCTTGGGAATAACTGTGTTAAATCTATGTCTTCTTTTATGTTATGTATGTGTGTGTTTTTCCTTTTCCAGATAAAGCAAGAGAAGCCAGAAATTGTCCCAGATATAAGATGTCTAGTCATGGAGAGATTCAGAAACCTGGAAAGCAAGAACTGTGATGCTGATTTACAAAGAAACGAGAAAGTTGTCGTATTTAAGGAGCAGCTAAAGCAGATGAAGGCTCAGTGTAAGTGTGGCTTTATTGCTAAACTCATCATGTTCTATATGGTCTCTGTGCCTCTGTTACTTTTGTCTCTTAGTATGAACCTGTGACATTTATTCATGTATTAAGAAAATATATATAGCTGCCCAAGTCACAGTGACTCCAGGCAGCTTACAGAAATAAAATCCCACATACAAAGCCGAATACCTCCCCCATGCCCCTAGCAACAACAGTCAAGCAAGCCACTTGATGGGTTTTGTATCACCCTTGGGTCCCTAGGCCCACTGGCCAAACCATGTCTTAAGGGTCTTTTGAAAGTATCAAGGTGGGAACCAGTCTTATTCCTACGGGATTGATGTTCCACAGGGAGGAAGCCACCATGGAAAAGGGCCTTCTTCTTGTTCTGCATTAGATGAAACCCCATCGGAGAGGGGGCCCTGCCTTCCTGCTCTAGTGGGTTGGGTCGATGTAACTGAGAAATGACGGTCCTTCAAATAATCTGGTCCCGAGCTATGTAGGGTTTTAAAAGTGTATCCAGCACCTTGACTTGGAACCGGAAGCAAATCGGCCAAAGATGCACAAATCTAAACTTGCACAAAACCATGCAGGGCATTACATTTTGAACTAATCAAAGTTTCTGGGTACTTTTCAAGGGCAGCCCAGGGGTAGAGAAACCACTGCTCTGCATCCAAAACAAATAGCAGGTAGATTTTTTGCTCAGCCCTCCCATCCCAAATGGCCTCTTGGCTTTCGAAGAGGAGCAAAGGAAAAACAGTACTTCTGTCTAGAATGTTGAGATGAAAAAACCGAATAGAGCTTTTTTTTGTTGTTGTTCTTTGTGTTCCCATCCATTTTAACAACTGGTCTTTTGAATTTTGTCTGTCAAGTGGATGAGTGATGATTTCTCTGGATTCTTTCTTGGGAAGGAAAAAAAAAATCTAATAATTTCTCAAAGGGAGGATTTCTCCTAATTAATGACCAGCTCAAAAAGCACCCCTTTTTACAGTGTTTCTCAACCTTGACAATTTTAAGGCATGTGGACTTCAACTCCCAGAATTCCACAGCCAGCAATGCTGGCTGTGGAATTCTGGGAGTTGAAGTCCACATGCCTTAACATTGTCAAGGTTGAGAAACACTGCCTTAGAAGGAGTTTCCCCCGATGCATTGAATGGGATTGAATCATCCCTCCTTGGGACTGAATTGAAGCATTGAGTTAAATTTAAAGCTCCAGTGACCTGGAAAAAGCCTTGTACAGCAACCAAAAGGACTTCACTCCCAAAGACACACAGAGCCTTCTCATTAGTAAATAGGTGTGAGCAAACAACACTCCATGAGATTTTCACCAAAATTCTCTTCTTCTTTGAAATAATTTTGAGAGCAAATTCTCTATCATCAAACTGAATGGAAGCCAGAACGATTATTGTTATACTCTGTTTCCAGTTAATATGTACACTTAAACCAATTCAACACTTTCTTTTTACTTTCCTTTTAATTTTCTAGTACCTGTACATTATTTTAAAACACAAAAGAGGACAGTGGACGGTGGGGGGGGGGGAAGAGGCCATGATTTTCATTCCACTTACTGGGCTCAAAGGAAGCTGTCCCAGTACCATAGTTTAAAAAAAAGTATTTTTCTTTAGTCTCACGGTGCTGATTTTATTTGCATAAATAAGCTATATAAGGAAAATCTTGCTCCATATCCTTTTTTAATATTTGAAGGTGAGCTTTTAAAAAAATTTTATGCATATGTTACATTCTCATTTTGATATGATCTTTTTAAACTGATTAGGTAAGCTGTTTTAATTTTGTCACTCTTTACAAAATTGCTCCAATTTCACAATCCAGGCTGTGTTGCAACTCTAAAGAGACCTTTGCTATAATCATGGAACTGTATTGTTAGAAAATGCTTACGGTGTCTGTTCCCAGGTTTACAGCGTGTGTATCTAAGCCCTGCAACACTGCAGTATATTAAAATCCCTATGGCCCAATTCAGTCATTTTGGGGCTGCTGTAGGAAAACTGGGATCCTTGGACAGCTTGTTTTCCAAATTTCTTCCAGGCATGCATGTCCACAATGCTATTGGGAATAACGCAGGCTGCATTTCCAGTTTTCAGAAGGCAAGGAAGAAACTAAAAGGCCTATTTATGGAAGCAGTTCATATCCAATCGATTTTGAAAAAAATAATATGCATTTAATTTTGGTGTTCCACAAGCACTTTTTAAACTGGTCTGGGGTCATTTCTTTCAGATTCTTAAGGCTAATTCTTAGCTTATTATGATCTATCAAAGTTTGGAATGGTGAGGCAATAGTTTGCATGAAGGAAGTGTCTAGAAACTGCTCTTCTAGAGCAGGGCTTTTCAACCAGTGGCACAGGTACCCCCTGTGGTACATTGGCACCTGGCAGGTGGTACGCGAGCATCCTAGAAAAGTGGTAGTGGGGGAGGGGAATGAGCTGAACTGGTGGCAGCACCACAGAAGCCTGAGCGAGACACAGCTGGAGCTGCAGGGTTGTCAGGGCTCAGCGGAAGTGCCAGGATCAGCATCAGGATCCAGCTGGAGCTCGGTGCGGATCCTGGCGCTTCTGCTGAGCCCAGAAGAAGCGCCGATCAGCTGGAATGTTGCAGCATCCCCAGGGTCTTGTGATTTACATTCAGATGCTTGGCAACTGATTCATATTTATGACAGCCACAGTGTCACCTGCTGCAACAACCCAGCAGACGGAGGGGGGAATAAAAACCAAACACCCCCCCACCCCACCTCCACTGCCAATCCTCAACAGAAATGCTCACAACAATGAAAACCTCAGACAGGAGGAAGAGTGTCGCCAGGCAGGCAGGCAGGTGTCTTGCTCGGCTGTGGCTTGGAGGGCATTTTTTTCAGTGTCGTTGTAACTTCGAACAGTCACTAAGTGAATTGTTGTAAGTCGAGGACTACCTGTACTTCATCACTTTTTTCCTCTTTGGGGGGGGGTCATCAAGTTTTTGATACCTTGCTAGGCAACTGGTGGTACTCGGATATTGCCATATCCTAAAAGTGGTACAATGGGTGAAAAGATTGAAAAACCCTGCTCTAGAGCATGTTTTCATAAAGTAGATAATTGTGGATAGGTAACCTTAGGTAGGCTGATATGGAAAATCTTCTGAAGATTTTTGAAGTAAGGCATCTGAGTTCTTCAGTACTAGGATACTGTGGATTTAAAGGGAAAATAAAGTTTCTCTCGAGTCAACTCCTTTTAATGGCATAGACCAGTGGTTCTCAACCTGTGGGTCGGGATCCCATTTGGGATCGAACGACCATTTCACGGGGGTCGCCAAACAATGCAGTCCGCCATTTTCCCCCCTTTTCCTTAGCTGTGCTATTCCCTTTTATTCTATTGCAGTGGTTCTCAACCTCTTTAATGCTGCGACCCCCAACCGGTCGTAAGTTGAGGACTACTCAACCGGTCGTAAGTCGAGGACTACTCAACTGGTACAGCACCGTTTGCAGAATGGGACTTTTGGCGGGCTCAGCAGGGCAGAGACAGCCTGGACAATTCCTATTGACTTTTGAAAGCCAATAGAATTAGACTCTATTCAAGAGAGTCTATTCTATTGGCTTTCAAAAGCCAATAGAATAAAAGGGAAGCACAGTTAAGGAAAAGGGGGAAAAAATGGCTGACTGCGTTGTTTGGCGACCCCCGTGAAATGGACGTTTGACCCCAAATGGGGTCCCGACCCACAGGTTGAGAACCGCTGATCTATTGGCTTTTGAAAGCCAATAGAATAGACTCTCTTGAATAGAGTCTAATTCTATTGGCTTTCAAAAGCCAATAGGAATTGTCCAGGCTGTCTCTGCCCTGCTGAGCCTGCCAAAAGTCCCATTCTGCAAACGGTGCTGCACCAGTTGAGTAGTCCTCGACTTACGACCGGTTGAGTAGTCCTCAACTTACGACCGGTTGGGGGTCGCGGCATTAAAAAGGTTGAGAACCTCTGCCATAGACAGACTCATGGGATTACCTTGATAAGAATATGGAAGGGTTTATTATTGCTATTTTTCAAATGTTGAGGTTCTCAGTACAACTGGCTATTTACTGGTTCCCTCCTACTCAACACTAATGGCTGATTTTGGCATTTTAAGATCAGTCAAGACAGGGCTGCCCCCAGCTTAGTATAATAATTGTATTAAAACACTTAGTTGGGAGAGGAAATGAGCAATTATAAATTACAGACTAGATTTCTGTCTTTGACAAAGAAAAGAAAGAGCCCTTAGCAATACACTTCCTTAGCAAGAGAAGTCTGTGCAAAGTCTGCAGGTAAGAATGCTAATATAGTGTCCTAACTCAGGGGTCCTAACTCATGGCCCACTATTAGGCCATGGCCCATTCAGAACCAGACTGCTTAAGCGGTGGGTGAGCGGCGGGCACATGTGCTTGCGCTCAAAGCTCCATTTCTGTAAGCGGTGGGTGCACACACTTGTACACAAAGCTTCATTGCGCAAATGGAGCTGGACATGGGCCTGCCAATCACACAGAACCATCTGCTCTCCCCCACCACCGGTCTGCCAAGCTGGAATGGTTGGGCCTGCTGTCCTAATGTACCTTCAGCAAAGGAGAACTCATTTGTTCTCAAAGCTTCATTTCCGTATCATATAGAACAGTGGTTCTCAACCTTTTTAATGCCGCGACCCCCAACCGGTCGTAAGTCGAGGACTATTCAACTGGTCCAGCACCGTTTGCAGAATGGGACTTTTGGCAGGCTCAGCAGGGCAGAGACAGCCTGGACAATTCCTATTGGCTTTTGAAAGCCAATAGAATTAGACTCTATTCAAGAGAGTCTATTCTATTGGCTTTCAAAAGCCAATAGAATAAAAGGGAGTAGCACAGCTAAGGAAAAGGGGGAAAAATGGCGGACTGCGTTGTTTGGCGACCCCCGTGAAATGGTTATTTGACCCCAAATGGGGTCTCGACCCAGAGGTTGAGAACCACTGATATAGAATATATTATTAGGAAACTGCAACATACATAACACCAGAGAGTGAGCTACTGT